GGGTCTCCACGAACCCGACACCTCGCTCTGCGGGGAGAGGAGGCTTCAGCCGCCCGGCCGGGCCAGGGGTCGTCCCCCCCACGCCCGCCCGCCCCTCCTCAGCCGCCCCCGCTCGCTCACCGTGTGCCGGCAGCCCCGCCACCCGCCGGGGTCCCGCCGGTAGAGCTCCATCTTCTCAGCCGCCGCCTCGGCGACTGCTGCGTAGTCCATGGCCGGGCAGGGCGGAGCCACCGCGCCGCCGCGGCCTATGAGGGCGCCGGGCCGCACCGCCCCCGTGGGCCGATGGCGGCGCCGCCCCCTCACCTGAGAGGCCGCGGCTTGGGGAAGGAGGTGGCTTCTATCGCCTCGCCTCCTGGTGGCAGGCCGGGGGTCGGCCATGCAGGCCAGGCCGGAGCCGCGGGTGGCCGTGGCCTGGCTGTCCCGGCAGCCTGCCGCCAGCAGCCTGAGGGGAAAAGAGGCGCCGGGCGACAGGCCGCTGCCATGAGGCGTCACTCGGGTCGCCGCCAGCCATGGCAGAGGCCTTGCCGCTCTCTCACCTGAGATGGGGCCTGCTCACGCGCTGGCAGCCCGGTGTGATCCCACCAACATGAAAAATAAAGGGCAATATTCAGCGTCTAAAGGAGGTGTAAAATCGCAACGGCATGCGAAAAACTGAATAGAATTAAATTAGGAGTAATGAGGGAAGTTTTTTTGAAGGCCAGGAATGGAAAGTTTTCCTACAATGCAGCTTATCAGGCTGGGCTGAGGAGTCTCACCAGAAAATTAATACAAGATCTAAGATTTCATCTAGAAGGCTGGCATGCATTACTGCGATCAAATACCTCCATTTGGTGTGTAGGGCTTTGTTTTACAGAGCTCGCCTGCACTCCCATGCACAATGCTTGGGTACCTTTAAGAAGGAAAAAACAGGAAGGAAACATTTAGAGTTACACTCATCTATCAGTCTAATTCATACATATAAAAAAATATTTTTCTGGAAGTCAAACACTAGAGTGTAAGGGTGGAGATCATGAAACCTCTATTGTTGCAAATTTTTAGGACCAGTTTGAGAAACATAGTCTAGAAATTAGCAGTTACATTGGTTCTTCCCTCGGAAAAGTCAGCAGACAATTGACCTCTCAGGTTACGTCTTGCCCATGCAGTACCCTCTAAAGAAACTCCATGTTCTCTGTAATTAGCCTGTTGCTGATTTGTTTGAGCCACACACCGTGGCTCAAATTCACCCTTCAGTCAGGGGATCCAACAGAACACGGTACATGGTAGATTGAGGGCTATAGTGAAACTAGGCACGTCAAGATGTCATAAACTGCACTGTAAATAGCACCTCTATTTGTAGGAAGCTGATTACCTGCTGAATTTATTCAGTGGAAGCATCTTTAGCTGGGACTGTGTCAAAGAGAGCCTCATCTGACATAGTTTTGTACTGGTTTAATTAAAGTGCCCCAAGTACATAGCTTTTGATTTTCCTGTAGCTAGGGTTTTTGGTTTTTAACAGCATTAGCACTAGGTAATAACTTGGATTAGTTTTCTCTTCCAAGTTTTGCAACAGATCAGTTGTGATATTGAAGCAAGATACAGTTACAGTAAAACCACAAGGCTAACTATGCTTTTCCCACCTGGAATGGCAGCATACACTGGTGTTGCAAAGACTATGTTGTAGTTACTCCAATAGACCTCAAACAGCAAGTACAACAAATGCATGTACACCCATTCAAAACACAGAAGGGTTGGGGCACTTCCTCAGACATTCGAGCATACCAGTTCGTTAGGCTCTGACATATTTAGATCAATACTGTTTTTTGATTTCTTTTTGGTGGGTTTTGTCCCAGGTTTCGGATACTTTTCCTTGCTATGAATCACCTGGATATACTGGTCATTGCTGCTGTTCTGCGGATCACTGCTGGATTCAATGGAAATGGAATCAGATTCTGTTAGAGATTGCTCCAGCTTTTGCTTTGATTTTGGTTTCACACGTGGCTCAGCATAGTTCAGGTGCACTTTCTTGTAAGCATATGGAGGCCTGTCCAGGTCTAGCTCAAAGCCATCGTCCCAGGATTTGTAGTGCACTCTGGCCAGATCTTTGCTTGTAAGAATGTGGCCATCAGCGCGTTCCCCAATGTAAAATCTTGGTGGTGGGCGAAGATCAGACAGTGAGCGAGGGCGATGGGATCTGCTAATGAATTCTCTTCTGAGTTCCTCTTCATCCTCCTCATCTTCACTGGGATGAGGGGAATACATCTGGTGTGGTGTTCGAACCACGTATCTTCTGACATTGCGTGGATACAACTCAATAACGTCTCCTGACTCATCTTTTCTGAAGTGCCTTTGGAGTCGGGAGGTAGAACGGAGCGATTTTTTGCGGGATTCATTTTCATTAACAACATAATACCTGGTAGCATATGGTCTATGTCCCACAAAAACAGGAGCCCCTGCCCCAAGAGCATCCGTATTTACCTGCCGAATGCCTTTTCTGAAGAGAGGCTCAGAATGAACATCTTCAGTGTGCTTTTTGAAAGCCACTGGTGTGTAGGGCTTTGTTTTACAGAGCTCGCCTGCACTCCCATGCACAATGCTTGGGTACCTTTAAGAAGGAAAAAACAGGAAGGAAACATTTAGAGTTACACTCATCTATCAGTCTAATTCATACATATAAAAAAAATACTGTTCTGGAAGTCAAACACTAGAGTGTAAGGGTGGAGATAATGAAACCTCTATTGCAAATTTTTAGGACCAGTTTGAGAAACATAGTCTAGAAATTAGCAGTTACATTGGTTCTTCCCTAGGAGAAGTCAGCAGTTGACCTCTCAGGTTACGTTCCTATTTTGTTTTCTTATAATTCTGGGAACCATTTAAAAATGCTCTGATCACTTGAACAAAACCGGGTAGCTTAAAGCATTGCTCAGCTCTCTGAACTAACTGTCCAAAACTGGTTGTCTTACAGCCAGACCTGCACAGGCATTCTGCAGAGAGCTCCTTCACTCTTACAGTGTTTATCTTGTTGATGGAAACAGTATCCTGCACAAACTATTTTAGTTACAAGCCTGAGGGGAAGCTTAGTATTTACCTTTGCTTGAGGTGTGTGCAAACTGCAGCTACATAACTTCAAAAGTTTTATAATCCCATTTCAATTAAGGGAGAGTTAAGGAGGTGGCATCACCAGCGCTCTGAATAGTACCCATGAATGCTTTTTAAAAATTCCTCAGCTGTTTTACTGTTGCAGACAGTCTGAATACTCAGCT